GAGAGAGAGAGAGAGAGAGAGAGAGAGAGAGAGAGAGAGAGAGAGAGAGAGAGAGAGAGAGAGAGAGACGCATAGAAGAAGGGAGGGAAGACTGCCCTTTGCCAACAAACTTCAAGGACTTCCAAGGAGGAGGCGGGTTGCAGCCGATGAAGGATGAACTCCGACGGGGTGGATTGCAACAGTGGACGCTTGCACGGCGGCATGGAAAACTAGGAAGTTTGAATTTGAATTCTTAGCGCCTCCCTGCTGAAGAGCAAATCAGGAAGCAGCATCTCCCACAGAAGGGCAAATCATACAGGCCCCAGGGGAAATAGGACAGGCGGTCCGGTAGGGACATTCCGGAAAGTTGCGCCCCTCACTGACAGGGGCCTGCACGAAAGTTCAGAGGCCCTAGGGGCAAATGAAGGTAAGTCAGCCGTCGGAGGGGCAAATTGCAAAATGGGAATTTGAGGGCCATTTTGAAAAATTTCCCGAAAACAAAAGGCAACTGCATGAAAAACAGATGAGTAGAGACATATGGAGCAACTAGGTATCCACTGTTTCCGGAATGGTTTTGTGACAGTCATCTGGTTTTTCAGCAGGGAAGTCATGAATATTGGTCGTTTTGAAAATTAGACTCGTTTCTTATGATATACTCTGGGTTAGCAAGAGTATCCGCAGGTCTCCTACCTGTAAGCTAAGCTGGCTGATGCTGTCGAATTGTGAGGTCCCCGGCCTCGTTTCGTATTGATAGTAGAGAGGCAGAATGGAGAGCAAATAGCATGCTAGAGCACAAAATACTATCGGACTGCCATTCAATAGAAGACAGATGAAAACGCAGTTTATGGGACGGTGGGGACATGGGAAACACATAGTGGCGAGGAATGGAAATAACGTGTAATCACCAAACAATGCAACATACCTGGAAGATATCAGAATCGCAGGCACCTGCTGATGTCATTCACAAGCAAGATAGCTAGTATTAGCCTGGTAAGGAACCCTTCGACTGACTAGTGGAAACAACCCTAGCTGAGCAGGTAAGGTCAACCAATGCACCCACCTGACCATAACCCATTAAAGGAGCAACAACATAGAGGGGCGGTCCAGTGGATGAAGGAAAGGACGTTTCGAGCCTGTTGTATTATTCTTTCATATAACCTTTTTCTTTGACATGAAGAAAGGTCACATGACAAACCGAGTCCTGAACTTAGACAAGAATGTCAAAACTCAGGCAGATATCCAAGGGAGTTTGTGGCCCTAAGGATGTGGTTCTAGTAGGGTCTGGTGTCTGCCCGCTAGGTCGCCGTTTTCTTTGCTCGGGTGACGGGTGGGATGTGGGGTTTGCAGTGGTTTAGGTGATCCTAGTACTGGTCAAAAGAGGTTTAAAGTTTTTGTCTTGGCGGACCAGTCGTTCCCTCACATTGACAGTCATGTGGCAATGCGGGAGCGAGTTTGTGATATGCAAGGGTACTCGTTTGGTGGCTTCTGTTCACGTGGTGTATTGCGTCACATACAGGAGGAGATGCAATGCAAGGGGGGGATTACGTTTGAGTCTCACTCCGGAGCTCATCGCTCTCCTCCTCCCTCCCCTCTCCTCTGTCTGTGGCATGTGCTTGCCTCCAGTTGGGTGACAGGTGACTCTCTCTCTCTCTCTCTCTCTCTCTCTCTCTCTCTCTCTCTCTCTCTCTCTCTCTCTCTCTCTCTCTCTCTC